GGGCTGCTGCCCGTGACCGCGGAGTTCCGTTGGTCGCGCGTCCTGGGCGGACACACGGGGGTCTGCAACCTTGGGGGCGAAGCTTCCCGGCTTGCTCGGGGAGTCGGCGGGCGGCCAGAGGCGCCGCTCGTTGGGGGACTCTCGGTTCATACAGCCCTGCTGCGCGGAGGGGCAGTGCTGGGAGCCGGAGCCGGAGCCGGAGCCCGCAGCGGGCGCACGCTCGCGGTGCCCCTCACGGTGCCCCCTCTCGCCGTGTGCGGGTGGTGAGGGTCCTTCGTCACTCTCCTTAGCTCATGGAAATGAACTTGATCAGCGCCCCCTTCTTCCAGGAAACGCCTCTCGGACTTGGGTGGTGACTGATGCCCAGATTGCACGACCACTTCTGGAGCTGCTCCTGTGCCCCCAGCGCGAGGCGCAGAGGCCACCCTAGAGCTAGCGCCGCAGGGCTGGCAGCCAAAGTGGGGGAAATGATCAACTCCTCCGTGTCCAGTCCCTCCCTGCTGGCGGCCCACGGTGCCCCGGGCACTGACCCCTCGCCCGGGCGTCGGACCACTGGGATGAGTGTTCACGGTGGCGGCAGCAGCCACACCAACAGTTGGCATCATCACCTGGTGCAGAGGAGCCTCGTGCTCTTTTTGGTCGGGGTTGTCCTAGCCCTGGTGCTCAATTTGCTGCAGATCCAGAGGAATGTCACCCTGTTCCCCGAGGAAGTGATTGCCACCATCTTTTCCTCTGCCTGGTGGGTCCCTCCCTGTTGTGGGACAGCAGCTGGTGAGTACCTGTCCTTGTTCTTGTAGGAGTAAAAAGGATGTCTATTTGGCTGAAAAAACACTTTTCCGTGTTTTTAATTCTATCTTCTACTTGAAAATAGAATTATGCACAGATTCGAAGTGTACATCTGCAGTTTCTATATTTAGAGAAAGGAAAGAGGGGTAGCAGAGGACTTCGAACCCACCCCCACCCCCCATGCTGTTCTAAGCCACAGCTCTCTGGAAGTTTGAGAAAGCCCAGTGATGGAGATGAGCAGGGAGATAATTGGCTGTTTAAGCAGATGCTGTGCCAAGCTGACTGAAGTCACTTCCCTCTTGGTGTCGGGGACAGCCCACAGCTGTCATCCAGTGTGAGCCACATCATGATTGGCCGCCTAGGGAACTGGTGAGCAGCAGGACTGAATAGCCATTGGTCGCCAGAGCGAACATGCTACCCTGCTGGATAACTGAAAACAAATCCGTCACATGTGTTCAGGAGGCGGTTGCCAAGGGAGCAACTTCTCAGCACTTCCTTTTGCCAGATCACTAAGTAAACTGTGGCCTGAAGCCAGCCCCACCTCAAACTCATAGTTCTGTAGATTAAATTCATAAGGCAAGAGTAGCGCTTCCCCCCCCCCCCCCGTTGAGAATTTAGATTTTCATACACCTAGCCAATCACAAAGATGCTGTAAGACATAACGCAGGATCGGTCCAAAGGACAGGTTTTTTTTCTTAACCAGGGTTTTTCAAAAATAGAATTTTAATAGAATTGGTCTGGTCTGGTTTTATAAAAATGTTGAATTGATCTTGGACCAGCAAATCAGTTAATACTTTTCTAGTCTCACAGCACTTGTTTATTTGTTGGGTGCTTTCTGCAGCCTTAACTCTACAAGCTGTTGAAATAAAAAACTGAGCCTGACAAGCCCCTACCCTTAAGCATCTTATATCTGGTGAGGAAAGCAAAGTGATGACTACAATATGAAGAGCACCTCGTTTGCTTACCTGATGCTTGCCACGGGCTTAGTATGCTTTGCTCTAGTTATTCTTTACAACAATTCTATGCTGTAGTTCAATTTATAGATGTGGAAACTGAGTCAGAGACTGAGTCATGTCCAAGGATGCACAACTAGTGAGTGGCAGAGTACTGTTTCTAACTGTTCATGCTGCCTCCCTGCATAGAGGTGTCTGCCACACTGTGGAAACACATTGCCTCTGTAGACTCACTGAGAAGCAGGAAAGAGTTTTGTAATAGAAGATACCGTAGTTACTAAGCAGTGGGTAGGATGTTTTCATCTTTATTCTCAGAAAGATGGGATCCTCTTGCGTTTTTCTAAATCTTTTAAGTGCACGGCTATACTAATTATTTATTTTTGAGAAGTACGTATAGGTTTCTTTCTTTGAACCAAAACCTTAAAAATGAAATATTTTAGTTCAGTTTTTTGTATTTGTGTTTGAAACTTCAAGGAATTCCTGGAATATCTGAAACGCTTTCTCATACTCTACTTTTTTTTTTTTTTTTTTTACCATCAGCTAAGAGCATAAGGAAAACAGTTCCTAGTACATTTTTCACCTATTTAGCTTTTAACCTTAAAAGGAAAGATGAAGCTATAGTGAAGTAAAGTTAATTTGGGGGGGGTCCATTTTTCAAAATTTAAAATTAGAACTTAATTTCATATAATATAAAATTTGAAACAAGATTTTCCATCTGAATGTTGGGCCAAAACTGTGATTCTTGCTTCTTGATTGAAGAACCTAAAATGCTACCTCTTTCATCCAAATCCAAAGCGAAACTACTGTGGGAGGAAACTACTCTCGGGAGCCTCAGTCCTTGGCTACAGCTTCCACAGTGACCCTAGTGTCCCCTGTCCAATCTCTTCAGGCCTGCTTTCCCACTCACCGCCACAAGCCTTCATTTTTGCCATTTAACGTCTCTTCTGGAATGTTGTCCCTTCCCACCTGTGCAAGTTCCCTGTAAAGTTTTGTGAAGTCTTCCTAACTATTCCAGACCACAGTGATATCTTCTTTCCATGTGTTCCAGTTACATAATCCTCATAATTTTACACATGAGAAAACAAATATGAGGAGCCACGTCCCCTCAGAGGGCAAACTGAGATTCAAGGCCAACTTTTCTTTCCTGGCTTGGTGCTCTTTCCATAGCTTAGTACTAATTAGGGAAAAAGCAAAACCCGTGTGGGGTTGTCTTGTCCCGGCACTTGCCCACAGGGATGTGAACACAGCAGGTACTCAGTGTCTTCTGGAGTACCTGCAAGAACCCGCTTAAAATCAAATCCTCAGCCCTTCTGGCATGTGACCCAGACTGGCAAAGTCAAATCAGCAGAAATGTGTTTCATCTCATGCCCAGTCCTAGTGCTTGGGGGCAGCAGGAATGTCAGAGCTGTGATATGACTTGCGACCAAAGGATGTGTATGGATGTTCACCTGTTCACTATAAAATGAAATCACACTAACTGAAAAGAGAAAGTGAACTATGTAGTCATTCAAATTTCATGTACTTTAGGCAAATATAGGTATTAACTATGATAAAATTAAATATTGCCTATATTATGGGTAATTAAACCCACTGCTTGACTCATTTCTGTGTTTATTGAGACATGTTTGACTAAACCAAGTAACAGTTCATTAAAAAAATTTTCAAAACAGCACAATTTTGGGGGAGGTACTCAGAGAACAGGAATATAAAATTTGTCTAAGTTTAAGTATTACATTATTGCTGATAAACTTGCTAGGAAAAGGACTAGTTTGTAGTAATATACTATTTAATTACTACATAGAAATTATATAACTTTAAGCTGTTGTATTTTAATACTGTTATCTTTTTTTTTAAACAGCTGTTGTTGGCCTACTCTACCCCTGTATTGACAGTCACCTCGGAGAGCCCCACAAATTTAAGAGAGAGTGGGCCAGTGTCATGCGCTGTATAGCAGTTTTTGTTGGCATTAACCATGCCAGTGCTGTATCCTTAATGTGATGTTCTATATCCAGAATATCTTAGGTTACATATTGCAGCATTTTGTGACTTTTAATGTATATTTAGTATTTGTATAATGTATAAGAATGCCATTTCGAGTAGATGCCATGACCCAAACATGAAGGTGATACTTGCTCATTTGAAATTGCTACAAGAAGGAAGAAGAAAGGGGCTATAAATGGCTTAATCGCAAAATAAGTTGTTTTATGGTCAAAATACCAGCAGAATTTTATATGTAGCTTTCAGAGAGTTTATTCTTACAGTTATGTTTTTGACTTAATGATCCCAGGGAAATTTCAGGTAATCTTAATCATTACTGTAACTTGGTATCCAACAAATGTTTCTTTAGCTCATGGCACAGTTTTTATGCATGTATTTGGGTATAGTAACAGAAACCCATGTTTTTAACCTTTGGGGTGTTTTTTTTTTTTTATGTTTTTGACCTTATTAAAAATCATTACATATTTCCTTAACATTTGCATCTCTAGAAATTGGATTTTGCCAATAATGTTCAGCTGTCCTTAACTTTAGCAGCCCTGTCTTTGGGCCTTTGGTGGACATTTGATCGTTCAAGAAGTGGTCTTGGGCTTGGGATCACCATAGCCTTCCTAGCTACGCTGATCACTCAATTCCTCGTGTATAATGGTGTCTATCAGTAAGTATTTTCAAATATTGACTTTGGAAAACTGTTATTTAGCTTTTATTGAAAGACTCATTAAACCTAGATATTTTCCTATCTTATTTGATTTTACTACAGAATGACAGATTTGGGCATGAAATTCTCAAAAATGCTTATGGTTGACTCATTTAAAATGCACGATCCATAATTAATGTTAAAAAAACAGGTAGCAGCAGAAAAGTATGTCACTCAAATATGAACATTTTACAATACTTCATGACTACTATGCATCCTGTATATCCCCATTAAAGACAATCTTTAATGCAGACTTGAATTAGGTGAAAATGACTGCTAAGGCACATGTTTGTTTGTTTGTTTTTCCTGCTCTAGGTATACATCCCCAGATTTTCTCTATATTCGTTCTTGGCTCCCATGTATATTTTTCTCAGGAGGTGTCACAGTGGGAAATATAGGACGACAGTTAGCTATGGTAAGTGAAATGATTATGTGATCTCCTAGCACTTTAATCTTTTTAGCTTGCTAGAATTACTTTACATGGTACATTAGAATTTGTGTTTATATTTTCTAGTTCAAACTCAAGAGCAACAGTTATTGAGAAAAGCATGTATTAAAAATATAGGTAGTAGTACCCAGGTCATTCTTTTCTAAATTACAAAGATTCAAAGATTTGTAAATTCAAAATATTCAAGCAAGTAAGGAACTAGAGTTCTAGTGCAGCCCTTCATGGTATTATGGGGTCAATGGGACTTTTGAATTCGCATAACTACTGTAGTAACCGGTAGAGAAATATTACTGAAATGGCTAAAGTGAATGATATATGAGTTTCCCCTCCTCGTTCTGTATCAGAAACAAATCTGGGTGATCTTAGCAAGGACACTTTGCATCTGTCAATCAACATTTATTTTTAACAAAATCAGAGTAGGTGCAGTTCACAGTCAGGCAAATCAAGCCTGCAGAGACTGTGTCTCAGGCCAGGGCTTGATGTGGGCATAAAGGGCGACAGCCTTGCCCTTCAAGGGGGCAAGTGGTTCTGGGCATGGAGAAGTAGACAGTGAGAGCACCACTGCATGTGGCCAGGTCACAGTGTAGAGGGACTGTCTTGCCTGCACATCACACCTTTTTTTAATGGAGGAAAAAGAAGTCCTTCCTCCAAGGCACTTCTCACTCAGCCACTTCCTGAGAGATAAAAGTCAAGGAGAATTTTAGCAGTCGTTTTCAGTAGTTAAAAATTACCACCTGAACACTAATTTTTTTAAAAATGTGAACTTTTAAATGTTATTTCGAGTTGATTCTTGACTGGAACGCTTAAATAAAGTGAACTTTTAAAAAAGGAGTGAGACCCATTGCTCTCAGAGATAAACTGTAGGGCTTTCTCATAAAACTTATCTTGGTATCTCATGCTATTTTTAAAACAGATTTATTTTTGCCAGCAAGTACCCATTTGTGAGGAGTAGAATTTGAATGCCACTTGGCTATTTCACAAAAATAGAAGGAATTTCAAAAGAGTAGAGTTGATAGCGTTCTACCGGTTACTGATCTCAAGCATCTTTCTCTTCTGCTCCTTGATAATTCTCTACAGATTTGCTGTCAAAACAGAAAAAGATTCCATTGAGAAAACTCATTTCTCATGTCCCCTAATGGAGACTCCAACTCAAAAAAAATTGAAACCTAAAATAAAGCTTTGAGGGAACATGTCAAGAGTGAAGGTGAAGGCCAGGCACTGTGGCTCACACCCGTGATCCCAGCTCTTTGGGAGGCTGAGGTGAGAGGATTGCAGGAGTTGGAGACCAACCTAGTCAGCATAGCCAGACCTTAGCTCCACAAAAAAATTAAAAAATGAAGTGAGCATGGTGATGCACACCTATAGTTCCAGCTACTTAGGCAGTTGAGGCTGCAGTGAGCCGTGACCATGAGAGGGAGAGAGGGAGAGTGCTATAAGTTGGCTTTGTTCACAGGTAAATGGTCTGGCAGCTTTTTGTAGATTTTTGTTCTTGTTTTTCCCTACACACCATTGTCCTTTGTGTTAAAAAATGCAGCTGAAGCATTTGCTATCAGCCTGTATGTTTAAAAGAAAACATTACAGAATTTGTAGTTGTTGCTGTTTGTAGCTTTAAAGTCTTTTCTCAAGAGTATGTCTTCAAACTGCCAACAGCCATCAGGTGTGTCCTGCTTCCATTACTTAGGCCCTGCTGAGAACACCTGGTTGCAGAGTCCTGCCCTACTGTCAGTGTAGGATTTAATTTGCCTGTCCTATTTTTGATTGACCTGATTCAGCTGCTAATGATAATAACAATATTATTGTTATTGAGGTCTTACTTTTATTAGGCACTTACCACTGCATATGAGGCATTGTGCTAAACATTGTCATTGTTAACTAGTTTAGTCCTCATAACTCAACACTTTGAAGTAGAAACTATTATTAGCCCATTTTAAAATGGGAAAATTGAAGCTTAGGAAGATTAAACAACTTGCCCAAGTGGGTGGCAGAGATGAAATTGGCACCATCTTCTCATTAGTATATCATACTGCCCTTTTAATATATAGCTCATGTCTGTTGTTCACCTTCTAAATAGGTTGAAAGCAATCTGTGACAGTGTCCTGGATTTATTGGAGGATGCCATCTTGCCATTTAAAATGTATCACTATTAGGCAACACTGATGAGAGTTCATGCACCAAACATATCTATCCTGGGCTGATTGGCATCTTGTCTCTGGAGTCATTTTTGTTCTTACACTAATGTCGGACCTCATTTTAGTCTCTGTAGACCATGGATTCTGAAATTGTTTCTCCTTGTTTATCAGCACATTAGCGAATAGGTAACACAATTTGATGATCGATTTTATTTCCAGGTTGCTGGCAAGAGTCTGCCACTTTATTTTCCCTCGTTGAAGTTTGTTTAGAACCTTCCCAATGTTCATATTTAACAATTTGTAATGCTTTCAAATGAACAATTCTTAAAAGTATGTATGTTTCCTAGTAGGTCTTATCATATGTGTCCCCAGGGTAGTAACTGGCAAATAAACTCCTGGGTGATCTTACCAAAACTCACCACTTTCTGACTTTTCTGTTTAAATGAGAGGATCTTGTGATTTTCTGGAGAAGTAGCCTTCTTTATTACTTTAAGGTGAAGAGTCAGCTCCTTCATTGTAAAGAATAGTTGCCTAAATGGAAGAAGTTTAAGTGACATGGGAAGACACTGGGGTCGGAGTAAGAAACCACGCATTGGGATTGCTCTTCTGCCCTTTCACAGAAGCTTTGTAACTTCAGAAAAGTCATTTAATCTCTTTGGGTCTGTTGCTGTTTTTTATTTGTTTTGAGTTGTGTGATACATGTGAGGATTTGCTACATATATAATAATTGTGTGCGGATGAGGTTTGGGCTTATAGCAAACCCTCCCCCTCGCAGTGGACAAGGTACCCAGTGAGTGGTTCCATGCCCCCATCCTCCCTTCTTGCCCCTCATTAGCAGTGCCCAGTGAGCCTTTGTGCTCACGTGTTCAATGTTTAGGGCCCGCTTTTTGAGTAAGAACATGCGGTATTCCATTTTTTGTTTCTGTGGCCATTTGCTTTGAACAATGGTCTCCAGCTGTATCCATGTTGAGTCTGCTTCAATGGAACATCCATCCTGTATTAAGAGCTTACCTTTTGGTGCCTGATAATAAGGATAACTGCAGCATCTACCCCAGAAGTTTTGTAAGGGTCACATGGCGAATATGTAGGAAGAATTTCTGGACGGTGAAGTTCTGTGTAAATTTAAGGTAGAGTTATTATTCACTGTCATAGATTATGACCTATTTCAAATATCTGTTTCAGAAAACTCCTGATAAAGTAGATTATAGTGGAGGCATCAGATATTAATGAAGGTTTGTGGCAGAAATATCCCTTCAGATAAACACAACAATTTAAAGTTCAGTTCCTTAGATTGCAGTAGGTTAGTTCTTCTAGGAGCACCTGTCATACCTTAAGCATCACTATGCTCTGGTTAAATTGAGTGTTTCCTTTGTGTAGATATTAGTATATCCATATTTAGTTATACTTAGTTATACTTGCAGCTTTGTCTTACACTTATATTGACTGGCTTTACATCAGGACTTAACTTAATTTTACTTGAGGCAGAGAATTACCTGCTGAGAGCACTGTGCTAATGCTTCTGGACCAGTGAGAAGGTCATGCAGGATAGTGGTGGAGCTCAAGTCTTGGGCTTCTGGTCTTTCCATATTTCTCATGTAGCTCAGTCCTATTTCTTCAATTTAATTAATAATTGAAATAGTTATACATTTTGTCTTAATTTTCTCTTTTTGTTTTCTTTTTAAATATAGGGTATTCCTGAAAAGCCACATAGTGACTGAGTCTTCACACCCGCCAGTTCTGAAGAATAAGCAAGATTTGGGAAGAAAATCTGTGATAGTGGATTGTGACAAAGATTATCTTTTTTCCAAAATAATCTATTTAGATTGGGCTGACTGTACAAATGACTCCTGGAAAAAATGTTCACCTAGTCTAGAATAGCAAAGTGGAGACAATAACTAATTACCTTGAAGTCATACCCTGACAGACTCATGAGTGCCTGTCTGCACCCTGGAACATTCTACAGGCTGTGTGGGTTCAGGCAGTTTCCCAAGTATTAGATTTCATTCATGTGATTAAAAACAAGTTGCCATATTTCAAAGCTAAGACTTGATTACCAACTCTAGTTTTGTATCAGTGCCCAAAGGAGAGAAGTTGATGGTGCTTAACAAAAATGAAGTATGGTGTCATAGGAATAATATTTATCCAAAAGATTTTTTAAAAATAGGGTTGTGTTTAAAAAAAACAAAAACGAGGAAGTAGAAGAAAAGCAGCGGCGACTGTAGAGAGGTCACACTCCATGTGGAGTCTTGGCATGGCTGTGCTTCACGGTCACGCTCCTTCACTGCAGTGGCTGCTCATGTGGCAAGTGCATGTCACCAGTGAGTAGACTGTGTTTTTCATTCCACCCGTGGAAGAGTGTGTTGACAATCTTACTGAGAGCAAAAGGCAATGAAAAGTCATAGTTCTACACTGTGATATATTGGGATTTTCACTTCAGTTCATTTTTTTCAAAATCCGTAATCATCTAAGAATGAATACCTGCCTGCCAGTTATTCCAATCTTAGCCAAAATTGTTTGTTTGTTACTCCAGAATAGAGATGACTATTTTTTTCCACAGCCCTATGGAATTTGCAATCTGTGATTGCCTTGTAAAAAGAAGAGTGCATATGTCACTACATTAAACATGTGGTGGGTGTTTCTAAATAGTAAATGATATTGGTGAGCACAATGTATTCATTTAATGGTATAGACCATATTAGACCTAATTTGCAAGTATTGGGTCTTAAACTTCAAGTGCAATGTATATGAAAACCAATCTGAGCCTTGTATTCTCTTAAATATTTATTTTTTTTAATGTGTGGGATGTTCTTGAGAAGGGTTCTCCATTCATTTCAGCGCTGCATGGAGGCAAACTCAGCAATAATTGTTTTCAGTTGTCAAGTTACTTTCTTGTTATACTCTCCACTGAACCCCAGTTCTTTAAAATACTCCAGTTTTGTGGGTTTAGTAATTTTTACTTACAAATTTACCTTTTTGTATTTTGAAATTTAAATGTTTTTGGTTTGTTTTAAATTCTGTGAAAGTGGCTTGATTTAAAAAGACTTCTTTGAAACAGAAGTCCCCAGTCAGCAGAATAGAAACTTAGACTAATTTGCCTGTGAGTGTTGATGTATATATTTAGTTTCATTTATGTGATGATCCCTGTTGGGGGTTTTTTGTTTTGTTTCATTTTGAGGGAGATATCTTTGAGTAAACTTTAGATTACCGAAACTTAATTTGTTTCAGAAGAATTTTGTTTAAAAGAAAATGGGATCATTCTGAACTTTGAAGTGATCCCTTATAAATTTTCTGAAAATGATTAGTTATGTGACAATTTTTCAATGAAGATGTTAGCATTTTATGAAAAACCAGAAGTTACTGGTGAAAGCAGTGAGTGAATCTTCAAAATATACTTGATCATGCACAAACAATAAGTATTTTGTCTTTTGAACTGGAAGTAAATCTTTATCTGTTATAAATAATGTAGCCAAAAATTGTAAATTTGAAAAAGTTTTGCCAATAGTTTATAGCAAATATATGAACCAAAGTGATCTGAGTTTGTAAAACTGTAAAATGATATGAACAAAATTTGCACTATACCAGATTTGAACATCTAGTGAGATTCACATTCATACTAAGTTTTCAACATTGTGTTCTTTTTGCATTCATTTTTTTACTTTTATTAAAGGTTCAAAACCAACTGTTGTATTTATGTTTGCTTTTTTTAAAAAAACAGGTGGAATGGTATTCTCTGTGTAGGATGTTAGAATTTGTAATATAAAAATATTTTATAGCTCTCAGATTTTACTGAATTCCAACACAATCTCTTGGGAAATAGTCATTTCCTTGGTGATGCCCCATCTGTAACAAAATCTGTGCATACCCAAGTCCAGCAGTTGACCCTATGAAACTTGTGCACACAAAATGTCAGCCCTCCATGCATGCAGTGTTCTCATCTTTGAATGATCCTCATTTGGCTGGAAAAAAATCCTTTCATAAGTGGGCCTGCACAGTTCAAACCCTGTGTTGTTTAAGGGTCAACTGTATATGGTTTCCTTATTGTGTAATGTCAAATATAGCACAAGCCAAATCGAACCTGTTGCCTTACCCCTCTTTGCCACTGGCACCCTGTTTTCAGGCAGGATGAGCCTGGCCAGTGCAAGGGCACCTGTCTTGCTAGCTGGCCTGGCTAGAGTTCAGGCCAAATCAACCTTGTAGTTGATTTGCTCTCACAGGTTATCGCAGATGGGATGAGAACTGAAGAGATGTCTTGGGCTTCCAGAACATTTATGCCAGGCATGCTTAACACAATTTTTAAAGAAATTGTTCATAGTTGTGAAACAGCATTTCAATACTAGTAGAGAAAGATCTGACATTATACTCAGCCCAATTTATAATATAGATCCAAACCAAAAGGTTTCTACTCTTTAAACTGTCCATCTGTGTATGGAAAATCCGATAGAGTTGGTGATGCAAACATTTGCCTCATTACAGAGACTTGAGATTTGCCTAAGATTAACCCAATTTATATGGATCTAACAGGAATGCCGGCTCTGAATGATTCTAAATTCATGTTTTAGAATAAACTAGAGGTTCAATGTCTCCTGGAATTTTTCTGGTCTTTGAGCAAGTAATTGAATGATACCATTTCATTAAAAGTATGGTATGTAGTTTACAAAAGATTTCCTTGTTCAATTTTCAACTAAACTGCAAAATTGAGTAAACAGGAACTCAAGATTGACTCAAGGGTGTTTTGTTTAGCTAGTTTGAAAAGTCAGCTGCGCTCTTACCTAAGGAATGTTTCTGGCAGATTTGCCTAAATGAAGTAGATATATATTATCATTTGGTGGCCCGGCACTGTCCCCACCCTTGAATTATAGGCATTCCTTTTTGTTTTGGTGGTGAAAAGAAATGAGAGAAGGGAACGATTACAAATCTAATTTTTGCTTTTCTACTTCACCTGTTAAAATAGACCTTTTACTAAGAATGTTCATTTTTAGGGTTTAAGGTTATCTGTAGTAACATAACTGTTAGGTTTCTAAAAATGCTACGTCAGTGGGCTAGTGTGCTGAACCAGGGGCATAGGTAAAATGCAAAGAATTGCATATAAATTAGATTGGAAAATATGGTTTATTTAGAAAGTAGATTAGAGAGAGAAAAGGGGAATCCACCTCTCCCAGATTGGGGAGGAGGACAGAGCTTACAGAGAAGCATGGCAGCAACTGTTTGAAGTTGAATGCTTTTTTGTTTTTTGGTTTTTTTGAGTTGGAGTCTCACTCTGTCGCCCAGACTGAAGTGCAGTGGCCGCTCCCGGCCACCGCAGCCTCGACCTGCCAGATTCCGGCGATCCTTCCGCATCAGCCTTCCAAGTAGATGGAACTACAGGCGTGCACTACCACGCCCGGCTAATTTTTTGATTTATTGTAGAAGTGAGGTCTCGCCAAGTTGCCCAGGCGGGTCTTTTTAAACCTTTCCTTTGGTGTGGGGGTAGGTCGTTAAGGTGATTGGATGGTGGTCTGTTTTAAGTAATCTTGAAGGTGCAGGCAGATGGGTGAGTTCCTCACATAACTGTTGCCATGGTGATGGGGTCTGTCTGTGTCATGTAGGTCATCCTGGTTCTTTATGGTTACAACTTGGAGTAGAAAAATAAACAATGTAAAATGTAAATAAACAATGTAAAGCTTGGGGAAGGAGGTTGTAAATTATCACTAACTATCTCTGGGAAAATGGCTCTGTTCTTGGCTAATGACTAGAGGGTAAATTAAAGGGAACTGCTAGAAACACATGACAAAGCTAAGCCAGGTTAAAATGACTGCTCTTTGGCTAAGATTACTTCATTAAATCAGTCCATGTTGCCATTTTACCCTTTCAATAACTAACAGATAAAGTCTTAGAGATAGGAATATTATTTTGGAAAACTATTAATATTGTAAGATACTAATAAAGATATTACAATTCAGGCTTAACATATGCAATAAGAAGCTAGCCTACCCCCCCCCATATTTTGCTTACTTTTGGAGTGTGATGGGCTTAAAAGCGATAAATTAGCCACAAGAGGGATTTCATATTGATCCTTAAATGCAGTCAAAATATGCAAAGGAAGATAAGAAAAAGGCACATGAAGTAGATCTAGCTCCCAATACTCACACATGGTGCTCTATGAACTTTACACATTTTCCTAAGATTCACACTTGAAGAATCTTACCTGGACATTTATAGGAATACCTAATAGTGCCTGGCCCAAGATAAGCTCATGATGCATTTTAGTTTCCCTTCTTCCCCCAGTTGTCTCTGGGAAGAATAGACGTACTGAGACGGTGTTACATCTCTGAGCTGATTTCTCCCTGCAGGCTGCACTCCCACAAGGGAAGCTTCTGATTCTTAACAGGTGTAAGAGAGGCAAATAGGTGCTTCCTCCACTCCCTCACCAGCCAGCCAGCCAGCAAACGTCTTGGCTGCCTGTTGTATGGCACAGGCACACGGGCTGTCCGCTGTCTCATCTTGCTGGCACCAGACCTTTAGGCCCCTTCCAGTGTGTGATCCCCAATGGTAGTGCCCATCTAGATTTGTAATTTTCAAGACAAAAAGGTCGCACAGCGTGAAGAGTGGTTCTCCATTACTATTTCCATGTGTTAGACACAATTTTTCTAAGTGCTTGACATCCTTTTTCCAAGTTGTCCTCTTCAGTTTTTTGTTGTTGTTGTTGTTGCTCTGTGTTCTTCAACATTCTCAAGTTCAGGAACATAAAGAAGGCATAAGGAAGTTCAAGTCAAAATGCCACATCACCAAGTCACAAAAGTAATTTTCTCATTAGAATCTAGCTCTTCACATTTTTTTTCTGTGTCTTCTCTCAGGCAAGTTTTTCATTTAAAATTGTGTAATATATTCTTGTTCATCCCTCAGACTTCAGCAGAAGTGTCATTCCCTCGCTCTCCTTGTCACATCAAACCTCCCAAAGTCTCTTCCGGCAGCAGAGTGCTTGCCACAATAGCCAGCGGAGTTTGGGATCCCCGGGCTGATTTCTCCTTGCAGGCTGCACCCCCGCAAGGGAGGCTCCCGATTCTTAACAGGTGCAAGAATGGTGAATAGGTGATTCCTTCACTCCCCACCAGCCAGCCAGCCAGCAAACGTCTTGGCTGCCTGTTGTATGACACAGGCAGGCACACGGGCTGTCTGCTATCTCTTCTTGCTGCCAACAGCCCTTTAGTTCCCTTCCAATTTGTGATCTCCAATCTGCTGGGAATGAGAAACTAAGTAAAGTTGTTAGAATCGCTCATAAAATGAAAGATCTGAATAAAGATACGGGGAGAACTCCTCCAAGTTCATGGATGAGTTTTAGTGGCAGGATTTGTTCTGAACAACACTGATGCCAGCTGTTACAGACTTGGAATTATTTTTCCTAGGAATGGGGTTGAATGTGCACAGAGCCATCCACACCCTCCTGCCCCACTGCCCTGGTGCTCAGCATCTGCTTGGGGGGGTGGGGGGTGGGGAAGGTGACGCCCATAGACGCAGGAGGAACTGAACCCCGGGCAGCACTGGGAGCCAACTCAGTGAATCTCATCGGAGCCCTTGACCAGTCACTGCCTGCTTTCCCAGCCTTCTCATATGCACACTAATGCTGCTGCTTACCCAAACTCAGCTGGCTACTGTGGCAAGCACTCTGCTGCCTGGAGAGATTTTGGGAGGTTTGATGTGACAAGGAGAGCAAGGAAATGACACTTCCACTGCTTACCTCCATACACAAAGGTATTACCTATTGTGTGATACCTTCTGCTGCCCTTCAAATTTGGGCTCCTTTGCCATCGACTGCTTTCAACTCATCCTAATTTTTCTTCATGCCCAGGGGCCTACTGACCCATGCCAATTTGCACATTTGGCATCTCCTTTTCTCCTAATTTCATGTCAATCACTTTAGTTGCAAAGACCCAGCAAGGGCAGGGTGAGTGTAAGCAGATCACTGTAAGAAATATCTCAAGGCAAGGGGAGCAGCAGTGTCTACGAACCTCCGAGTCAGCCTCTTTCCTAATGAGTTGCTTCCTACTGGCTGGCTCTCGCCAGCCTAGGAGAGGCATGCAAGTGTGCGTCTAATCAATACTTGCTCTACAAGCCGACTCTCCAGGCCCGTGCAGGGGCTTCCCGTCTCCTGTCTCATCACACATCGCTCTTCATGTCTTCCTCAAACATCCAGCCGGCTGCAGAGGCCATCTGTAAAAAGGTCATGCCAACACATCATCTGAAAGATCAGCTCAAAGTTTCACATATCCAAAAGGAGGAAGCGTCTGCACTTTATTGCAGGATTAGAAACAGGCAGCAAGTCCTTTTATAAAGCTGGGCACATGGAAAAGCCCTTTCCCATGGTTTCTCTTAAATGAAATTGTTGCATTTCCTAAGATCCATAAACAGGCATTTATATGGATTCAATTGTTCATCTTAAAACATTGGGGGAAATGCTATCACATACTTCCTGCATGCCAGAAGTTAGGCTTTGGGAGCCCAGTGGCATCCAAGATCGGTTCCTGCCTGAATAGGAACTGTCAAAAATCTGCCAGGTCACCAGGGAGATCTGGTTTAGCTTCCGGAGACTTAAAGCTCTTTTGGAACTCTATTTCTAGTTCATTTTAGTAACTTCGGTCCTTCCTCACAATAAATACCCAAAAGAAATTTATGAATGAAGAAAGGAAAGAATCAAAAAATAAA